AGAGATTTAAATTCGTACTTATACGTGAAGCAGATGCTGTGTCCTGCGTATACCAGACCATTAAATGGCGATTAGAGTTCTGTTGACATATTTCAAAGACCTGTTTGTCAAGGTATGACGGCTCTCGTCTTAAATTTGTTGTGCTATCCCAGCCTTCGCGGAGATTTTGATAGTAGCCAGCTTGCAGCCTTCACCGGTAAGCGATGTTACTTGGACAGGAGATGCGTTTATTTCTCAGTAGCAGCAAATGGTTACTTATGCATGAGATTTTGCAAAAGGGTGCAAACGAAGCGTTTATTACATAACGATTTACGCTGTCATCTTAATTAAAACACGCTTGCTTCTTTTTCCAAGATGGCTACATGTAGCTATTTTCTACAAATGACACTTGCACAAATGAATAGTTGGTTGCGGCCAACCAATTGGGTGCCACTTAGAGAGGTGTGACTTTACTGCTAATCGTAAATATATACATGTACGGAGGTGCGATTCTGCCTAAAGAAGCTCAATACGGTTTTGCTTCACACTAAGAAAAAAAGTGGGTGTTCGAAATTTTACACAAACTAAACAGTAGACCTTGATGTCGATATTCACTTTCAAACTAGATAAATAGGCTACCAATGTAAATAAAGAATTCGAGGTGCTCTAGAAAATGGACCAAGCGAAACTCTTATAATCCATAGCTGCATCATGTTGCTTGTGTTGGCATTCACCCATGTTGGTTGAAGGGTAGAGTTATACTGCGTAGTAGTAGTATAACAGTGATGGTGGATGACCCTATTATAGTACTAAAACCAATGCGACCTCATGAACAGCATGCGAAACATAGCTACAAACTAATCTCAGCCTTCGCGAAGTTTTCTAGTGATGCTACGCCTCCAGTACAAAATCCGGAGCTTTTCCGCGCAAAGCGTGTGTGTGTTGATATCAGAAGCGCTGTCACTCGCGACAACTTCAACGTGCGATTTACTTTGTTATCCAGTTAGAGCTACTTCGAAGTATTTCTTTTAACATTCAAACTGCTGTGTGTTCAGCCACATAGTTGAGGTACCGCAGGAGCTTCTTCATCTTGAGAGTTTCGCCAAGCTTTTCCATCGCCCTTGCAGAGTTAGCTGCAGCTGCAATCTTGTCGGTAAGTTTTAGCTTGGCAGCGTAGTCGTCAACAGTCATCCCAGCTTTCAACATCGTTTTCATC